GTGTGCGCGTGCGCGTGCGCGTGCGCGTGCGTGTGCGTGTGTGTGTGTGTGTGTGTGTGTGTGTGTGTGTGTGGACGGTATTGAGATAGAGCGCGTAGAAACAATGAAATATCTAGGTATAATTATTGATGACAAACTAAGATTTAAAGCTCATTGTGATTATATGCTAAAGAAAATAGGTAGAAAACGAGTTTTTTAAATAGAATAGGCAATTTTATATCAACGTACACTAGATGTATTATATACAAAACAATCATAGCGCCGCACTTTGAGTATTGCGCGACGCTATTACTAGATATGGGTGAAACACAGCTAAGTCAGTAGCAGATTGCACAAAATCGGGCTATGAGTAATATTACAGTGTGATAGGTATACCAAAGTAGAATGTATGCGGGATGCACTGCAATTTATGTCTATAAAACAACGATTATATTATAATGTTTGTATATTTACTTTTAAAATCTTAAAGAAACATGTTACCATTAAGAGATAGGTTAGAAATAATAGAAAGTGAAAGAGAAACGAGGCAAATTGGAGACATTAAAATAAAATTCAGAAAAACAAGAAGCGCGCACAAAAAAGAATGTTTTATGAAGGGATAAAAATGTACAATGCCTTACCAGCGGAAATGAAAAGTAAAGAAAAATTTGTATCATTTAAAAGAATGTTAAAAATATGGTATAGCAAATGTTTGTTAAAACTGTATTTAAAATAGCTGAGAAAGGTAAATAAAAATAAATCATCAATCTCTGTCTGTCTCTCTCTGTCTCTCTGCCTTTCTGTCTCTCTCACTCTCACTCTTCCTCTGTCTCTCTTTTTCTGTCTCTGTCTTTCTCTGTCTCTCATTACATATTACAATTCTTTTCCTTTTTTTTCGTTTAACGCGCTCATCTCTTAGAAGCATTAGGAACATGCACACATTCGTGACTTTCCTAAAAGTCTAGCAATGACTACGTTTTTTAACGTGAATTTCAATATTTTGTTTGGATTATCTTCAAATATCTCCGTCCAGAAGCCACAGACCAAAACAAAGCAAGAATACTTTTTTCTTTATTTTTTCAACGCGAATCGAACGAGACTAAAAAAAATTGATCGGTTTATTTGTTATTAAAAAATTATTGATTAAATATCTTCTCTTTATTGAAATGCCTGATTTTCAATATAAATGCGTACAATAGACACGGTGTATTCGCGCAGTTCGAGCGCCATTTCGTTGCTCGTGAACTTAGCGCGAGGCACTACCGTGCCTCTTGATAGATTTTAAAGTACTGCTATTAACCGAATACGACTATTTTATGGTGTTATATTAATTTTAAAACTAACATTAAAATTGGTTAGTAAGAGCTAAACGCTGGATGTTTGTGTGAAACGAATATTTAAATATATATGTATATTACTTCACAGTGTAAATTTTTACAACTGAATTTTTGAATTGAAAATTCAATTCCTTAATTTATATAGGATGCTGAATGTGTATCACATATATGAGAAGTGCCTGTTACCTCTCTATCTAACTTTAAAAATTGAATTTTTAATTCAAAATTTCAGTTGTAAAAATGTACACTGAAATAATATAAATACATATATATTTATATTTGTTTTGCACGAATACTTAATTTTTATTACTCTTATTTTTCTTATATTTTTTATTTTTTATTATTCTTATTTTGTATTCTTATTTTACTTACTTATTTTTTCGTTTATATTAATAATTTCTTTCATTGAGGTACCGCGCGTAACAACCGCAAATGTATGAAACGCAAATTTTTGTTTGCGTGATGCTGGCTCATTCGTGGATCTTTATTAATTAATAACTTGTTAAATATAACCTTTTCTACTAAGGAGCGGTAATACTAGACAGTTTTAGTAAGTTCGAATAAATATATGTTATACGTCTGTAATAATGTTTTTAAAACATTCATATTTTGTGCAGTTGTTTGGATTGAATAAATATATTGCTTTCAATGAATATTGTCTGCTGTTTGGAAATCTCTCTATCGTTCACATTTTCGTTCCGTGTATGAGGCACTACTGTGCTTGTTGATCATATCACTGTAATAAAATCATTTACGTGTTTCAAATATTTTAAGGCCTGTGTTTGTAAGTTTATTTTGTAACTCTATAATGCTAGTTACCATTGTCGCTATTAATTTTTACGCAGATAATTCGTATCACAAAATAGTTGCATAACGACAGTATTTTTGTCCAAACAAAAGTAGTAGTTTTTAATAAGTTCCATAAATATATCTACTGAATATTTACTTTCATAATTATAAACTGAAGTTTAGAGTTTTACACTTTCCATCGAAATAAACTAGTTTTTTCCTGCTATTATTGATTTTCACGAAAATACAAATTGATAAAGTCCTCTTAAAACTTTCTTTTTGATTTTTACATATACACAATTTAAATCATTTTTTAATATTTAGCTAAAACAATTGCACGTATAACTGAATATTTACTTTCATAATTATAAACTGAAGTTTAGAGTTTTACACTTTCCATCGAAATAAACTAGTTTTTTCCTGCTATTATTGATTTTCACGAAAATACAAATTGATAAAGTCCTCTTAAAACTTTCTTTTTGATTTTTACATATACACAATTTAAATCATTTTTTAATATTTAGCTAAAACAATTGCACGTATAACTTCTCTAGTGTATAATATTATATTTGTTTTTTTAACTAAACTACAACTGCTTTTCAGAGAAAGACCTTCAATGGCTTTAGTTCTTTGGGAACCACCAAGTAAACATCTGCGCATTTTACCAACAAGAGATACTCCAACTCCAATTCCAAATACACCGGACAACAACAACAATAACAATAACAACAGTGATGCTACTCTTGATTTGAATACTTTATCATCTACTATCTTGTCAACATACGAGCCAATGGAATTGTGAAAATTTTTTTTAATTTTTTTCCACAGTACTATATTATCTTCATATATATATAAAAATAAGGAAAATATAAATATTGTATTTCTAGGGAAAAAACATTTTAATACATAGTATAGATAGATATTTTATTGGTTTCCCTTGTGATTATAATTATAATTATCTTATATATATACTTGCTTAAGAACGAACTTAGTATTATTTTCACTACTACTTAAACTCCTAAGCTACCTCATTTATATATCTATATTTGTTCTATATTCGTTCTTCTCTCTAATCGTTCTTTTCTGTTCAAACATCATTTCTATTTTTTTTTAAATTACATAATAGCTTTTTTCCTTTCCCTTCTCTTTCCTCATATTTTTTATTTCCTGCAATTTTCTCAACCAATTTTTGCCTTTTTTCTTTTAATAGTATTTCTATCATATGATTTGGTTTGGTGCACGAAGTAAGAGCTTCAATGGTTTTGCTTTAATGAAACCATTGAAGGTTTTACTTCGTGCAGCAAACCAAACCATATGATAGAAATACTATTAAAAGAAAAAGAAGGCAGAAATTGGTTGAGAAATTTGCGTTATTGCGTCAATCTATCTTTGTTTTACATCTAATGAGCAATAAAGATAGAATGCAACAGCGCTGATAGCGCGATCTTCGAATGTAGTCAATGTTATCTAGGTGACGTCACATGTGGACAAAGCAAAGACCGCGTTTAGCCAAACAATTGCTGAATTGTCGTCTTCTTAACACTTCACGTTGATTTGTTAGATCTCAAAGGAAGAGCCAATCACGTTCGATTGCTACAAGCAGCTTGGTCTTTTGAGGGTCAATTCTGGGTGCTTTTCAACTACGTACACAGGCGACATTGTGTAACACAGTGTCCATTAGTGTGAGTGAGACACACTGATATGCTCTTTCTTACACTAATGGACACAGTGTTACACAGTGTCGTCTGTGTACGTAGTTGGAAAGCACCCTCTGTATCCATGCGATGTAGTGAAAGTTACAAAAGTGAGCAAATTTACTAGGTGTTGACCAATAAGATTATAAATATTTTAGTAAATTCGCTCACTTTTGTAATTTTTACTACACTGCGTAAAGATACTTTTTCATACTGTCGCTCGTCGCTCATTTTTAGCGGCAAAATGATCACGTGACTGAGTATATCGCTCATGAAAACAAAAGTAGCGACAGAATACAGTGATTTATTATTAATATAATCTAATAAGTAAAATTAAATGTCAAGTTTGAGAAAAAGAGCTTGATTACAAGAAGGAGAGTTGGTTATATCTCTTGGAGGTTAAGTCAAAAGAGGTGAAAAAAATTCGAAATGTCCTACGAAGAAAAATATGCAGAATGGATTTCCGAACCCAGCAAACAATTTCTGTTTTTGACAATTTCGGCGCAGACCTTGGTAACAGAAACTGTTTGCAGAAATGCTACAATACGGAAACACTGCCAAAATTGTTAGCATACAGAAAGAAGAAACGCAACAACTCTGTTGATAATGAAATACATGAGAGTATTGCAGCCAAAACGATTCCATATATGTCAGTGAAATTAACAACAAATAGATGGTCAATTGCAAGCAGATCTGCTTCTAGCAATACTGTGATCAAACAGTCCGCAAAATTGTACCAGAAATCTGTTTACGACAAAAGTCGGGTCGATCTGTTAAACGCATTGACGACAGATTGCCACCAAACGCCAAGCAGGTCTTCGTGTATACGTGCGGACTGTTTGCAATTTGGCGCCAACAGACAATGACCAAACCTATTCCGGATTTTGGCTTTACTTTGGCGATAATTAAGCTTTGCTTTGCTTGTGGCAGACTCTGTCATCATTTTGGTCGCATTTTGACATTTCACATGTTAACAGACATGGTTAACAATTCATATCCTACTAAGGACACAGATGGATATGGTTTTGTAACCAAAATGTTTGCTGGGAATGTATGAATACGTATAACATTTGGTATAGAAACGTGCAGCGTCAAATAGCAACAGCAGCGTGTGTTATGACAGTATTAGAAAAAAAGCAAAAAACAATACAATAGAAAACGCCACTAGATAAATTCAATTTTTCAAGCTCATCACAAATATGGTTTTTTTCATATGGTTTTATCCCGCTGTAATCTCACAAATGAACAATTTAAAAACTATTATCGTATGACTGCAACTCAGTTTGAGCAATTATTAGATTTAGTGGCTCCTTTAATTACAAACAGTTATTCACGAACCAATATCTGCAGCTGAACGATTATCTATTACATTAAGGTAAATATTTTTGCATTCATTATTGTTACTATTTGTCAAGATTTGTACTTTTATATTATTAAATTTGTTTTACTTGGTCTGATGCAGGTATTTAGCAGCTGGAGATATAGTGACATCAATTTCTTATCATTATCTGGTTGAAATTACAACAGTTGCCAATATCATCGGTGAAACATGTGCGGCCATTTGGAAATGTCTTCATACAACTGTGATTCCTCTAACAAAAACCCAAGAAAATTGATTGGCGATTGCTCGAGAATTCGTGGATAGCTGGAATTTCACTTATTATATTGGTGCAATTGATGGAAAACACATTAAAATTGAAGTAAGTACACTCTGTCAGTGGTGTTGAATAATAAGAAAATAAGTCAATAAAATTATAATTTTTTTTAGTGTCCACCAAATGCAGGTTCCGCATACTTTAACTACAAAAATCATCACAATATAGTCCTACTTGGCTTTGTGATGCATAATATTTATTTACATTTGTTGATATTGGAGCTTATGGTCGTCGAAGTGATGGCGGCATCTTTCGTGACTCTATCATTGGTCAAAACTTTGTCAATAAAAAGATGAATTTGCCTGATAAGAAACCACTTTCACCAGATGGACCACCTTTGCTATATGTTCTTGTTATAGATGAAGCTTTCCAGTTGATTGATTACCTATTAAGACCATATCCTAGAAAAGCCGGGTTAAACCAAGAACGATGTATCTATAACTATCGTTTAAGAGAGATGGTTTGGAGAACCATTGAAAACACACTCGGTATCATTGTGAGCCAGTGGAGAATTGTACGTCGGCCAATTAATTGTAGTGTGGATAAAACCATAACTATCGTTCAAGCCATTGTATGTTTACATAACTAGCTTCGAAAAAGTGATGTAGGTATCGATGACTATGCATCACAATCAATTGTAGATAAAGACGATGCAAATGGATTTGTTCCGGATTCTTGGCGAAGCATCATTGACAGTAGTGCATTAACCAATTTTAATAAGTGTGGCTCTAATAACGCAACTCGTGAAGCAATAGCTATTTGAAATGAATTTTGTAAATATTTTTATAGTGAAGGTGCCATACCGTGGCAGTTTGAATATTGTTAGTATAATTTTTTTAAATAAGCTTAAGCTTCAAGCTCAACATTATTATTAATTAATAAAGACTTAAGGCTCGTGAAATTTAAACCAATGAAAATTTACAAGTGAATTCGTTACATGTGTATACATATATATATATACATGTATAAGTTCTCGCTCAACACTTTGAGAACGGCTCGTAAGGCCTTATATTCATTCATTATTATTAATCTTTGGTTGTCACACTGATTTGAGTCAAATTGACCCAGTGTGACAACTACGTTCCAAAAAAGGAGATGTGACAATCAAAGGTTAATAATTTACCATCATTCATTTATGATTATGTGTCGTGTATTATGCAACAGTCTCAATATTTACAATAATATTGTGCGCACCTAAATTTATTACAATAATGATTTTATTATGATAATATAATAATAATATAATATGGTATAATATTAATAATATTAATATTATGTAATAATATAATTATTATTACATATTATTAGACAACATCTTAATAGATGTACGAAATATTGCGAGACAAACTCCAAGTGCCTCGGTGGCCTAACAGGGAAGGCGACGGCCCGGAAAGCCGGAGATTCCAGGTTCGATTCCTGGCTGAGGAGTTTTTTTCGCAATATTTTAAATCAAT